CATGACTATGCACAGCCAGTTTTGTAAAATCTGTCATATACAATCTTCCGCACTAATTTACAGTAACCCCATGCACTACCTTATGATTACGATTGAACTGTGACCCAATCACATTTTAAATGCCTGCAATTTTATTTTATTTCTGTGTATGAATCTGCGAAAGCACTGTACATAAATAGGGTCATCAAGGGCTCTGCCTGTAACCCTTCAATATACATACATACATACATACATATACATATACATATATAACTATCATAACTCCGAAGACATAAAATTTTCATTATTCATTTCGCACTCAAAAACTCCGTTTGTTGACTTTACAGTGCCTTCTTGATGAATTGATAGTTAAGTAGCACATATCTTTCTTCTTCGCCGGAAAACCAGCAGTTAATCTAAGGATCCTTAAAGTCACTGTCCTGATTTTACTTTACATTTTGGTATTTTGTTGTTATATCAAGTGATATTGTTCTCAGTCGATCCCTGTGTCGTGCCTCTCTGTCGGTCGTCAATTCGGTCGTCAAATAAAAATTTTCGTCCAAACTACACTGTTCGTGTGTGCAAGTAGCCGCCTTCGGCTTGCTAATTTCCGCTTGATGATGGACGTTCTGGATCCTCAAAAACTCTCATCAGCTGAAAGATAAAGTTTTATCTCGTGAGTGGTAATGTTTTTATTCCTTAGGACTGCTAATCTAATTTTGATGGTAAGTAGCATGACGTTATTTGGAGTAGTTTTTCTACGAGATCTAAAGATTTGAGCTCCGACTTTCGATTAAATTTCTTTAAGTACAGGCTTTTTCGCTCATAACTACCATTTGCCATTTCCTCTTTTAGTTCAGCTAGTCAGTGTCCGTAGACCACTAGTCGCATTCTGCAATTCGCACTTTGTGCACTCGATTTCTCTCTAACTGTGCACATTTTATTATACCTTAGCCTTTCGCTGCAATTCAGTCACCTGGTCTGTCAGACGTTTAATTAATTGCAACCTGGTTCCAGGAAAGACGAGCAAAAAATTCACATGTCAGCGAAAGCTCTCGACTTCCGTACCTAAGCATGGCTTATCTAAATTTAAGCTAGAAGGCATTACTAGTCAGTCACCCTTTGTAACCGATAGGCAGCTTTATCCGTTTGCACTTTATAACTGCAATGAGTTTATACTAAAATTTAGAACAATGCTCCCAATTCTTGGAAAATTAGTCGACGGGAACATCTCCGATCTTCCCTTTGAGGAATGCAAACGTTTTGACTCGCTAGTCAACCTGATCGCTAGTGAATCTAGTGATACACGAAAACGAGCTCGCAACTATTTGTTGAGAAATGTCCCTCAGTCTGGACGGCCAGTTGATGTGGCGACCCATTTCCTGTGATCGTGTGGTTCCAACTACAAAACAGCCGATGCAAAACGCCTGTCCTCCAGTTACAAATTTCGCCTGTCTTAGTTAAGCTGTTTTCACCAATCGACGTCGACTCAATGTTCACCCATCGAGATCGTGTCTCTGCGTACCTGAAAAATGAAAATTTTTTCCTTTTTCACGACCGTACCCCCATGGAACGTAGACTCGGGTCCTTCTTTTCACGTAAACCCACACCTTCTCAGTCAAAGGCTCACTAACTCGGTCATACTACAAGTAGACGTGAGGATTCAGCTTATCCTTCTCCTGCGACATCTGACCTCCTCCTCCCCCTTAATCATATATCTCCCTCTCACTGATGCCACTTGACGCATTCACCTCCCCTAAGTTAGTGGCGACCCAGTTGTCGTTCCTAATTATCCAGATCGCGCTCCTAGGATGCACGGAAGTCCGTCTACATCAGCTGGACTGATAACTTCCACCATTTCAAAGGAATCTTGCAAGCTGTACAGTTAAGTCACCTGTGACATGGGGTCAGAACGGTGAGACTTCAAAACGGAGTCAGACTCCGGCCCAAAAGGAAGGCAGTATAATTCCATTTAGGGGTATGCCGCCTTCTCGCAGATCTAACATGCCTCTACAACCTGGCTCGTCTACAAACATCGCAGCTCAAGTTATGCCCCCGAATAATTCGCTGTTCTGCGTGCCGTTTACTTACCAAAGTCCTACTATATATCCAGTAAATAATTCATACCTGAATTGTCCTTAGTCATTTATCCTACAATATTGTTCAAGCTTCCCACCGCTTTAGGCCAACTGCTGTCAGGTAAGTCAAGCTAACTTCTTTGACTTCCAACTTAGGCTTGGTTTCCCACCCTTTTATTCCTATTGCTGCCTGTCCCTCCCCCCATCAGCCTGTGCCGCCCATTTATACTTCCCCTTCTCCTCCTCCTCCTCCTCCTCCTCCTCCTCCTCCTCCTCCTCCTCTTCTTCTTCTTCTTCTTCTTCTTCCTCCTCGTCTTCTTCTTCTTCTTCCTCCTCCACAACTTAACTACCAACAAGCCTATCCCTGTTCTAACTCCTCCGGCATTGAAATACTCGAAAAATTTATCCCCGCAATTTTTGGGTCTCCTGCCCAGCCTTCTCTTGCTGACTTCGCCTATGTCAATAACTATAGACTAACTGGTACTTATTCTCCAAGCATAATTAATTCAGAGTCTAAATATCCGCTTCCATTTTTTTTCTTTTAATACCGTCGACAATAGCCTGCTGATCGAAATGCACCAGATATTATATTTTTGAATGCCATATCTGTTATAAACAAGATGGCCGAAATCAGAGCCATTGCTCTCGAAATGACGCCCGATATTTTATGTACATTGGTTAAACTGCCAGGAGGACGGCCTTCGGCCAGAAAAATTTTCTTTTGACCTGACCTATTTATAATGATAATGACAATAATAATAATAATAGTTATATTTAGTGCTAGTTTACAGGCATTGTCAGGGATGCGTTAAACACAAATGAGACCAGCAGTGAAAAAACTCCTTTGGAAAAGGAATAAAAATATAATTGATGGTTTTTACGGTTGTGAGGATTCAGGAGAAAAAAAAACTGCTGGCGGCAGTATTTTGATCGTCAAAAAGGGAGGGGTTGCATGGTATCGGAGATTATCAGACACCAATTTCTTTCATGAAGTTCGGAATAGTCAAAATGGAGGCGCGAAGAACAGTTGTCGCTGTTGGCCAAAGAAATTGTCCCTGACGAGTCCGGCCATAGTGTTCAGAGACCATAAACGCCATCGCTACGGTGGAGTCGATCAGTGGATTCAGAACCCAAGATTTGAGGAAGCTTTTCTGAATGCAAAAATAGAGTAATAGTTCTCTTAAACAAAGGATAATTTTGCAGAGTTTTCACACTCATTGGTAGTTTATTCCAATTAGCAATTGCATTTACAGAATAGAACCGACGATATTTAACAGTACGTGCCAGAGGCAGAAATAAGATGACCTCACGGTGACTGTTACGTCGTGGGTAGATATAATGTCTTAAAGAAGTGAGTGGGTTAAATGTGTGATTATATACGAGTTTAAATAGCAAAAATAGTCCCTTTTGTAATCTACGGAACCATAAAGGATCAAGGCCCGTAAGACGGCAACGTTCTTGGTAAGACATATGTCGGTGTTCCGCGGCTAAAATTCTCTTGGTAAAAAAGTGTTGAACGGATTCTATTTTCTTCCGCTCAGTAGCACGCATGAGGCTAAATAAAAACGAACCGTATTCCAGACCAGGTCTAACGTACATGTTGTAAAGGCGCATTTTGATGTCCCTAGTTCCAAAGTTTCGGAGGATAAACCCGGTCGTTCTGCGTGCTTTGGAGATTATCAAGGCACAGTGCTCCGAGAGATTGAGACTCTTGGAGTATGATATGCCCAGATCCTTTATAACCCTGGGCACATTTATGGCATGACCTTCGATGCTTAGTTAAGGTTGGTGGTCGTCGCCAACCACCATGACTGAGCACTTATGCCAAGAAAGGGAAAGGTGCCATGTGCGGCACCACTGGGCGAAAGCCTGTAGATCGCTCTTTAGGAGCTCAAGCACGATGTCACGATCTGCCGGCTTATATCGATATGCAACTTTAAGATCATCGGCATACATGAAAGGCTTATCATTCTGAAATAAATCG